TTGAATATGCAAATGCTTTATCAGCAGCAGCCTATAGTCATATATATTCAAATCCCACGCACCATAGTAAGTTATACAACACCAAACTCAAAATGCATATATATGCTTTGGGTTGGGACTGCCAAGTGAACAGAAATAATTACCTGAGCCTCTTAATAGCTCTCAAAATCAAAACCAAGTAAATAGAAGTCTTTACCACCGTCCACAGTATCACATAGAGATTGAAAATAGTCTTTGCGAGTGTAAGCTCCGTCCTCTGCGAGTGCAAGCTTCATGTTTGTTTGAAATATATTTAAAGAGTATAGCCGTGCGGCTATAAGTTTAAAATATTCGAATATATTTAAAAAGTATAGCCGCTCGGCTATACCGCATTTAAAAATTTAAAAATTTTGAATGTGGTTCAGAGAGTTGTCATGTTGAAGTTCTGTGAGATGCAATGCAGGTCTCAGTTTCACATCAAAGGAGTTCAAGGATCACTCCAAGTTATTGTTAAAGCATCATCAATCTTTGAGTTTGAAGTTCTTTCTATTCTCTCTGAGTTTGAAAGTGTACTCCATTTCTTTTAGTACCTATCAACTGTTGAAATGTAAGCATGACACTCTGTATGCATACTTTATAGTGTGTGGATTGGGTGTAATAAGCTGGTTCTGTTTTTAATGGTGTATTGCATGTTAGTTGTGTTTGAGTCTTCTTGTTTCTCTGTCTCTCGTTGTCTAATTAATATACCAAAATCACGAAAATCAAGTTTAGTATTGATCTAAAATTTAGTCCATCTTCTACATGCTGCGTGTCTCATTTGAAAGACAAGTTTCTGCATTACAGTACATACCTTCTGACTCTTATATTACCTCACAAATGTTCATGCACCAACTGGCAAGCTTGCTCATCAACACCCACAACAGAACATACATTTAAATTTACGTTCAACTACATAGATTCTGAGTTATCGTTTAGTTACATGATCCAAAGTCCACTAGCTGACTAGTCTCTCCAATCTACCAAAAAATTTCATTCATTGATAGCATTTTTTTAATAAGAAGATCTTATTGAGTCTGTCCAATGGTTCAATGCTAAGGCGCCAAACTCAGTTGTTTATGTTAACTTTGGCAGCATAGTGGTCATAAAATCAGAAGATCTTATTGAGTTTTGTTGGGGACTTGCAAATAGCAAGCTTCCCTTCTTCTGGGTAGTTAGACCTGATCTGGTAGTTGGTGAATCGGCGATTTTGCCACCTGAGTTTGTAGCTGAAACTAAGGGAAGAGGTTTGGTAGCAAGCTGGTGCCCACAAGAGCAAGTCCTTAGCCACCCATCAATGGGAAGATTCTTAACATACAGTGGTTGGAACTCAACCATTGAGAGTCTTTCTGCAGGAGTTCCTATGCTTTGTTGGCCATTCTTTGCCGAACAGCGAATAAATTGTGTCTATACTTGCAATGAATGGGGCATTGGCTTGGATATCAATAATGATGCCAAGAGAGACCAAGTAGAGAAGCTCATTAAAGAGTTAGTGGAGGGAGAGACGGGTGAGAAAATGAGAACTAAGGCTATGGAGTGGAAGAAACTAGCAGAGAAGGCCATCAGTCCTGATGGTTCTTCATACGCGAACTTAGACAATTTATTGAATCAAGTTCTATATATTAAGAAAAGGCTAGGTGCTGTCCATATGAGCCTTCTTATTAGGTTTGTTGTTGGTCTCTAATAACCTCTATTGAGCCTTGCTATCATCTCTAATTTCTTGCTTTGCTGTAAGCTAGTTCTACATGGATTCCAATTGTCAAATTTTGTAGCTTTTTTCTTGTTATTTTTAATCCGTTTTAGATTCTTAGCGAAAGTTGTGCTTGTATTCTTGCACTCCTATGAAGGAGAGTATTTTTCCACCATTATGGAAAGAATTTAGCACTTTCATGTTTAATACTCTATTATACACGTACGTACGTATTTTTCAAAAATATATCCGTGTTCTTTACACATTTTAAAGACTCGGTAAAATTCACATTTAAAAAAAAAAGCAAACATACAGTACTCGTATTGTACATGTAAGTATGTATTTCTCATGTTTAATACAAGTATTTTTTTACAAAATTTTCAATAAGACACACAAATTTCATGTATTATAGAAATAATTCTCACATATTATTGAATAAATATACTATATATATTAAACAAAATATATTAAAGTATTATATAGTGGCCGATTAATATCTACTTTGGATATGTTGAAACTAGCAAATTAATATCTATAAAGTATAAACTAATGCAACTAGGAGGGTGGTTTTTTCTTAATTTTTCATTTATTAAATGTCTCCATATGGAAAGGATTTCAATGGGGCTTTTCTGATGTGAGCTTCTGCTGTGGCTCTTTTTTCCGGTTGTTTTCTTTTTCTTTTGTTCTGTATTGAGCTGGCCTTTGGTGTATTATATATATATGGTGTGTTTATTTTAGGTTTTTAGCAGTAATAAGCCCAAAAAACACCACCTTTTGGCTATAAAAAGTTCCCAATGGGGGCTAAAGGCTATGAGATACCCATGTAGAAGGTAGTGTACTATTTCTTTTTACCTAGTTCATATCTTTGTTCCAACAATGATTTAACCACCGGACATGGCCAAGTCTTTAGTCGGCGGACGAGACGGGCTCTAAGGGTAAACTAATAATTAACAATCATTTAGTATATGAACTTCTTTGGTTTCATATTTATACCGTATGTGAGGTTCGAATATGAGACCACTGGTTTGCAAGTCAAAGCTCTTTTCAAATGGAGTCATTTGGTGGTGATGATTTTGTTCACTAATTTGTTTTATTCAATTTTTTGCAAGTTCACTTGCAAGCCAATGATCCCATCTCTCTTTCTAGGGCAGCCCCTTGGTATGATGAAAACCAAATCAACATTTTAATTTGTTAACTGCATTTTAGAAGCTGAAAATCGGATAATTTAAAACCGAAAAATATTTTGAAAAAAATAGGTTTTTTCTTTTCTTTTGGGAGTAAGAAATGGTTTTGTTGTGCTGAGAGCACAAATTCTCCGGCCAATGACATACAGTTCGGAGTAGTCGGACAAAATTTCCCTCAAGCACACGCGGGAAAGGGATCTGCATCTAATCATGCATTCAATAATTTGGTAAATTCCAACTTTTATTGTACTACACTAGACTCACTAGTTCCAATGCAAATATTAGTTTTGATGTACTAATTGTAATACATATATATTATATTAGAATAACTAGTATTAATTAATAGTATTAGTCTATAAATGTGGGTTAAGTCAGTTGGCTAAGGTGTGTGTGTGTCTGCTCACTTGCACTTGAGTTCGATCTCTCCCTCCATACAATAAAGTAGTTTAGAATATTACTTTGTTGGTTGAGCTCTTACATGTTCACTTATGTGGGTAGAGATTCAAAATATGAGACACCCAATGAATAATTGTGTAAACCCCCATCCCCCAATTGCTTGTACTAAAAAACAAAAACTTTCTTTGGAAAAAAAACCTAGTTTATAAGAGACAAAGTAGTGATGTATTGAGGGTAATATTACTAATATTATACATGTAGTTCATAAGAATACACACAGATGTCAAGTGTATTAAATTATTTTTTAGTACAAACGATTGAGGGAGAGGGTGGAGGTGTACTAAACTACTAATAGTAAGATAGGTTGTACATTAGGCTCACTAGTTACTCTTACTGGTTATAAACCTAAAGTAAACTAACAGAAAATAACAACAACAACAACAAAAACCAAATATATCTTTACAGTGCGTTAAAAGTACATCATAAGTCTTCTATAAAAGCTTGAGTTGTTATCCAACTTCCAAGTAAGAAAAAAAGAAACCCTAAGGAGAGATGGATAGAAATAGTATGTTGGTAGTTGTTGTGGTTGTGACTTTGTCAATTGTGCTTTTGCGAGTTGGAGGTGAAGCCAATGATCCTATTCCCTCTTCCATTCCATTTCCATACAACAACAAAGTTTAGCTTCCAAACATGGCGGAGATCAACATAATTCTGTCCCATAAACGTGCATTGTTTCAAAAATTTGGCTCCCCTTTGTTGTTTAGCTTTAAGTCCTCTTTTTTTTTTTTCTTTTTAAAAAAAAAAAATAGCTTTAAGCCCTCCATTTCTGGGTTATAGTACCCCATTTACGGCCTAAGAATAATAAATTTCTAAGTTAGGGCAAGTCCAGCATGCAAGGCATACCCGGGCAGGAGAGGGCCTTGATTGATTGAGCATACCCACCGCTAAAACAACTTCTTCCTCCTCTTCACCCAACTCACGATCTTCTTTAGCACATCTATGCCTGATTTCTTCATCTTCTCGTTGTTGCCTCTCCAACACCCTCCTCAGGTTAGACATTGAGAGTAGAATGTGTTTTATAAAATATGAGAAATGAAAGAATAGAGAAGATATGGTGTGTGAGGTCTAAGTTGAGGGTGTAGTTTTATAGAGCGATTTATAAGATAGATATGACATGTGGCGCAATTTTAGAGGGTAAAAATCTTATCTGAAATCTGAGATTAGAATTTTATAATAAATATCGACACGTGGCAATCGAAAATCTAATTTGAAATTTGACATCTGAATGTCATAACAAAATATGGACACGTGGCAACTGAAAATCTTATTAATTCGAAAATTTTATTTGAAAATGTCATCTGAAATTTTAGGTAAGAATTTTATAATAAGTAGTGACACATGGCAACCGAAAATCTTATCTGAAAAGCTTATCAAAATTAATGGTTTAAATATAAAAAATAGAAAATAAATTAAAGTGAATAATAATTGCCCCTTGCCCTTGCCCTTTGGGGTGAAAACAAAAAAGTCAAGGACTGCCACAATTCACATGAATAGTGACAAACCTTGCCTTGCCTTTGCCTTGCCCTTGCCCTTGCCCTTTAGGGTGGATGTGCTCTTATAGGGAGTTTTTACTAATTTTTACTTTTCTTACACTATAAATGGAATATTTAAAAATGGACATAAGAGTTTGGCCAAAGAACAAAAACAAAACAAACAAAACAAAACAAAAAAAATGCAAAACCTAAAAGGAAGCATTACACACAAGTCATGGTTTCGGATACATGATTGTAAAAGCGGTAGATACACGATGCCTTTGATTAACTCTTAGGAGCAAGCAACACAATGACGAACATCAACTTCCACACTATAAAAGTTGTTTCTATTTGTTGCTAATGCTAATTTGATATCACCAACATGAATCATTTCTTCAACCCTTCGACTGAGAAGCAATTCCTGTTTGATTGTGTGAGGATTCCCAATTTTTCCCATCATAATACTTAACCTCAATATGGGTTAGTGTTCCAGGATCAACACACGTAAATGTGATGGAAACGCCATCGGGGTTGGAGCGTGGATAATAAAATGAAGTTATCCCACAAACCTTACAAAACTTATGCTTTGCCGTATGAGTACCGAAACTGTAAGTAGTAAGAAACTGTTCAGAATCACCCAAAAGCTCAAATCTGTCAGCAGGGACAATAAAATGAGTGTTGCCCCTCATAGAGCAATTCGAACAGTTGCAACTCCAAGCCACAACTCCGGTAGGCGCTTGCACTCGCCATCGTACTTTCTTGCAATGGCACCCACCTTCATGCACTACCATCTCAGAGTCCATGCCTCAAGATTCTAATTCTTCAACAGGGCCAATGACTAGGATTACCTCTTCAAATTTCTAAATGCACCCGCTCTGACCTGTCAATAATCAGAACATCAGAAAATTTTGTTGTGAAATGGAACCCACATCTGCAATTGCAATTTCCAGTTCATTCAAGTTGATCTTATTCTAGTTTCCTCCTGTTCAATTTCTTCCTTTCTCACCCTTGATTTATGAAGACCGTTTCTATAATGTACTTGATTATATGATCACCTGAGTTCCTCACCCAAACACCCTCCTTGGCCACAACTCACTTATCAAGCCCACCTTGCTACATCACTAAGCCATAGCTTATCAGCCACTTGCACTACTTCTCATCCGATGGCAAAATGCTTTGTCACAGAACCCGTTAAACGGATCAGCCAAATAACGTACTAATCCAGAGATAAAAAATTCACAATTGGATGATTCAGTGGTTCATGAATTATGTGATTACATCCAACCTACCAACCTATCACACTTGGATGGAATTGGATGATTCAATGGTTCATGAACCATGTGATTACATCCAACCTACCAACCTATCACACTTGGATGGACAATGGCCAACTGGTTCTTGGAATGCACCCAACCAAATACACAAAACTTAAAAGGAGAGAAATAGAAGAGAAAGAACGAGGAAGGAACAGAGATGGAAGACGAAAAGGAAGATTATGGTCAACTCAAAAATCCAGTACTACTAAGATCCGGATAAGGAGGCCCCAAACAAACTTTGATTAGGAAATGAAATTAAAAAAACACACATAAAATTAAAGATTATGCTCCATCAATACTCTTTCATGGAGGCCTAGAGTGTCAAAACGTGGCTCACACAAGAAATAAATTTCTTCTTAGAATGCTTTCCAGGAATGGGTTTTTCCTAATGACTGATCCTGATATCAAAAAAGTCAAATGGAGGGAAGGGCATAAAGAACACCCGTTTCTCCTTAAAGCTAAAACCATCAAACAAGAATTGTATAAAACTACTGTGGATAATCATAGAACTAGAGCTTGACTTGTACTGGGATTAATACAGAGGGCAGTGGAGAAGACAATATTCTACTCGTTTTATTTTATTTTAATTTTTATTATGTATAAAGGAAATTGAAATCGGTGCTTAGATACACTTAGCAAAAAAATCAATTAGCAACCGAGAGAGATGACAGATTTTCAATGCAACAGACTGTGAAGCAGAAAATGATAAAGGAAACCCAGAAATTACCTTACGGGACCAGAAGGAGACTCAATTTCAGCCTTCAGCTTTGTTGAGTAAATGACGACGGACAGAGACAGCTAAAGCTGCTGCTGTTTATGATGGGGGATTAGTGTAATGGTTAACAAGAAACGTCGTCGTTTTGAAGTTTTTTCCTCTTAAAATGACTCAAATCAGTGAGCTTGTAGAAGTGTGGCAGGCTTTTATTTTTTTATTTTTTTATTTTGAAGATAAAGTGTGGTAGGCTATATGAGAAAGTTTAAAGCTTATGTTTGATTTGCTTGCCTATATGTTGGTTACTGCAGAAAGAGTCTGCAGCTGTTAGCAATATTATCATGTATATTTCAATTCCTAATTCCAATCATGTTAAAGAAATGAAGAAGGAAAAACATAGAAAAGGAAGAATTAGTTTTGTTTTTTAGCTTTTTATCTGGGTTTTAAATTTAAGGGCATTTAAGTATTTTTCAGTTGCATTTTTTGCTATATTTGAAAGCTTTTATATACCCAAGGGGTTTGGTCTAGCGGAAATCCTGGCTAGTCCTGCAAGTTGAGCAAATGTTAGCTGGATACTTTGTGAGGTCCAAAGTTCGTAACTCAAGCATGTGAAAAACACCTTTTGGGGAGAGCTTTATCTACAAACAGGTCTTGGCTCGGAGTGGTTGCACACTTTGCCACCATTTTTTTCACCAAAAAAGCTTTTATATTTATAAATAAATAAATAAATAAAAAACTAACATTTATGAATTTAAAGGGTAAATTTTGGCTATCTATGATAAAAACTCATTGCAATTTTAAGATTGTGTTTTGGAAGACCAAGGTATTGATAAAATCCAGACATTGTCAAATGGAACCCAATCCAACTTAATGGGCACGAGTTTGGTTGGGTCGGTTTTAGGCCCAATTTGTAACCCAATCCTTGAGTACTATAGCATTTCCCAAAGTTAGGTTCGTAGGAAGCTTCTGTTGGAGATGGTCTAATACTTTTTGTTGTTGTTGCCAAAATTAAGGAGGGGAGGGGGAAACTTACACAAACGGGTACCATAAACCACTTGCGAGCACACCAAAACCTTGGGTCAATCCAACTAACACCCCATTAGTGAGATGGTCTTGTTTGTGCTCAAATTTTTTCCCTTTGGTCCATTGGAGATGACATGGCAAGGCCCATTAAGCCAAATTTTGGGCCTAAAAGACAAAAGTGATCCGGCCTAAAAGCAAAACCAAAGGGCAAGGCTTACAAACCTAAGCATTGACTCAAAAACCTCACCCCGAGTAACAAGGCTTGGCTCAAATCATGGATTCGGCCCAAAGTTGTGGCCCAATAAACAAAGTCAAAGCTAAATTAGTCAAAACCTGATGGTTTCCCTTTGCCATAATGAGAACTGTTTGTGCAAATATTCTTATGGGAGAATATCCGCTTGAAGATCCTTCACCCTTTGAACTTCGTTCTCTCTCTTCCTCGATCCTTGTAAAATCAAATTGGAGTAAAAGACAACACTCGGGCGATGTTGGCCAAAGGCCCTTCGATGCCTAAGTTAGTTTGATTGTATCTAGGAGAAACAATAGCTAAAAAAAGATTACAAAGTTTTCTCTATGGGGAGAACCGGGTGACCAGAGTCATGTGTAGTGGCCGGAGCCGTGATGGGAAAATATGGAGAGAGGGGTGGCGGCAAGAGAGAGAGAGTGTTGGGTTTTTCGGGTTGAAATAGGATTACCTTGTGTGTTGAATGAGGCCATGTATTTATAGGGTTCTAGGCATCTAAGGTTTTTCAAAGAATAACTCCTATTTAGAAGGAATATATTTTTTCCCCAAATTATAGAGATTGAATCAATTATGGATTTGATTGGGATCAAATCTCTTAATTGATGATGATATCTCCAAATTAGGATAATATCTTAATTGATGATATTATCTTTTTAAATAAAGATAATATCTCTAGTTTTAGTATCACTTAATTTGCCAAATAAATGGGCTCAATTAATTGACCTATGAGATATTCTTTTTATCCACGTGGCGTCTTGTGATTGGAAGCCGAAATATTTGTTCCTACAAAAACAATCGAGCAAACTAGTAGGCACTGACTAATAAAAATCTTCACGTGCACTATCTCGATAAAATGGACTTTAAAGAATAAGGCAAAAAGAATGATGGGACGTTATAACTTGAAAAGAAGAATTAGTTATGAAAAGGAACTTTGGGACTTGTAATTGAGGCGAGAATCGGAGGTAGGAAGGCGGCTCACTTAAAGGATTGGGCGGTAGCTGAAGTCTCAACACCTTTTTAAAGGCGTCAAATTTGTCTATAAATAGCAAGACATTCCAATTATTAAGCATCATCAATCTTTCGACAAAAATCAAGCTGAAATGCTTCTCAATGCGCTTCTTAATCAAGTCTTAGGAATTTTTTTACTGTTTTTTAGGATTCAACGTAGGATATCACAAATAATTCTTAAGCTTGGTTTAGAGTTCTCGAGCACCACCATTATAACCTTTCATTCAATATATCAACAAGTAGTTATGTTCTTCACAGAGTCCATTTGAGCACCATCCAATACATTTTTCCTCCTGGCTCTTTTGATTCATTGTGTTTCAAAGGGACTTGAGAGATCTCTTAGCAGCCGAGCACGACACACCATGCACCAAATACTCACCGTAAAGCAAGTAGAAGTAGTCTTGTTGCCAAGACTAAGAACCCAATAGCTGAGAAAATGTTCCTAACTCGGCCCTAATCGTTTGACGAAGTCAAGACCAAGACGCTCATCATTTTCTTTGTATTCACGACCATCATAGACAGTGAAAACTGACATGTGCCGCACAGAATACCCACCAAAAAGGTCAACAGGTCTAATACCTGAGAACATTAACATTGCTACAAATTTACCCGAAATTCATAAGCTAATACCCGAGAACATGGCTATAATTTAGGCCCAAAAGTAATAATAATTAGAGCAAGAAATTAAAAAAATCAAATCCTTTACGGCCTGATTTCTGTTTCCTAACCCCAATCCGTGAACCCGCTCCACTCACTATATAAAATTTTCATCGCCGACCCGCTTCATATTTTTTTCTTATTCTTCACTTTCTTCTCAACCTCTCTGGCTGTCTCCTCTTCTCACCTTTTCGAGTTGTTCCCTTATCTGCTTCTTCTTCTCTATTCCATCTCTCTCGCTCTCTCCTCAGTGATCGGGGCGGCAGCTGTACTGCTCCAGGTTTATATTTCTCTTCTCTCTCTTAGAACTTTGTAACTAAGAAAATAAAGAGCATCTAAGTTCACCTCAGCCCCCTTTGAAATCCCGGTTCCGCCACCGGTTTAAAAGCAGCCATTTTCAACAAATTATTAGTGCTTCATCAGCTTGGGAAAACATTTCCTTTTTTCGAATTCTCTCTGTACCCATATAAACAAATTATAAGTGTTTAAGCATACGGAAAACATTTACTATGAAGATCACTACTTTTCAATTTTTTGTATCTTTTAAGAGACAAACTTGGAACTGCGTATATAAGTTTTGTTTAAACAAAATTTGGTCTATGTGTGTGTTTATGTATGTATGTATGTATTCATATCGTGTGTATGTTATACTTGTGCTCACCGCTCAGAGTTTTCTGTGGAATGTGTAGGAAGCTTGTGAGGTATTTTAATATTTGGAAGCCAAGATGGAGGCTTGTGGTGGAGCTGCAGTGATGGGTTCTCTTCAACAGCCCAGTTGGACCAAAGGAACAATTTTCCCAAACAAGGGGCTTATCGGTACTGGATTTTCACATAAACTAAAGCTCACTTGTGTGAAGCCCGTTAGATCTTCTTCTTCTTACATTGAAGGAAGCTTGGTTGCTGGAAGGCCATCCTCTTCTGTCTCTGTGACTTTGCCTGAAATTGGTGGTAATTATACTCCAACGCTTGAACCAATATCAATTACTTTTATTTATTTATGGTTCCATTTATAATTCATATTGAAAATGTATCTTAAGATTTTTTTCTGTGATTTTCTTGGGTAGGAATACTTTCGAGTATTGCAAAGGTTATGGTGTTATAATAGAATTTTTAATTTCTATTTCACTTACTAAAAAAAAATTCCTTTAACTCTGCTTCTACTATAATGATATCCCATCATCATGCTTGGATTTGATGCTCTGCGTATTCATCTTTGGAGGTTTTGTAATCGCTGCTCAGTATAACTTCATAGTTTGATAACTCAATTCTTTTTTCAGAATCATCCTTATGAAAATAGCTTTAAAAGAAACATATAGTCAGCCTCTATATTTCCAACTTCTAATGAAGTGTGAAAGCAACATTGGTTAGTGGCAGGAATTATGTCTGACTTGTTCAGGAATTGTACTATTTGATTTACAGGTTATGGAAGCAGTTTTGTAGACAATGGGTTAAGTGAGGCTGACCCTGAGGTGCGTGCTATTATTGAAATGGAGAAGGAGCGACAGTTCAAGAGCCTTGAGCTTATTGCCTCAGAGAATTTTACTTATCGGGCAGTTATGGAGGCAGTTGGCTCATGTCTCACGAACAAGTATTCGGAAGGATTACCAGGTAAAAGGTATAGATACTCAGACTTAGAGTAATGTGAGCTCAATAGGTTCCTTTCATTAAAATAATTATGCTTGGTGTAGCTCACTGTTTGATTATACATTTCAGGTACTATGGTGGCAATGAGCACATTGATGAGCTTGAAACACTATGCCAAAACAGGGCTCTAGATGCATTTCACTTAGATGGAAAGAAGTGGGGTGTTAATGTTCAACCATTATCTGGTTCTCCTGCTAATTTCGAGGTTTATACCGCAGTTCTTAAACCTCATGACCGTCTCATGGTAAGTTGTCCTCTTGGCTTTGTAATACTCTCACTTATTGGTGGCTACTAACATGTGCCTGTAACTTAGGGTTTGGACTTGTCTCACGGTGGACATTTGTCTCATGGTTTCATGACTCCTAAAAGACGGGTATCAGGCACATCCATTTATTTTGAGTCCATGTCTTATCGACTCAATGAATCCACAGGTGCTGCATTTTGGTTATGGATAAGAAAGATGTTGTCTTTCAGCTTTACTACATAATGGTTATTCTTTTAGGATGATGTTGATTTTTTTTCCTTAAAAAACAAAAACTATACCTAGGTCTGGTTGATTATGACAAGCTTGAGGAAATGGCTGACCGATTTAAACCAAAACTCATTATTGCCGGGGCTAGTGCTTATCCTCGAGATTTTGACTACCCTCGCATGAGGAAGGTTAGTATTTTAAGTCTTAATTCCATATAAATAATTTGCGTTTGCACAATGATATGGAATTCATTAGCATTTATAAGCACTGTTTTTCTTTGGCAACTGATGAATTACATTGAATTTGCATGGGAAGATTGCGGATGCTGTTGGTGCTTTTCTTATGATGGATATGGCTCACATAAGTGGGCTTGTTGCTGCTTCTGTGCTTGCAAATCCTTTTGACTACTGTGATATTGTAACCACAACAACACACAAGGTATTGTTCAATCTCATGTATTTATATTTCACTAAATTTTTTCAAATCCCAAATGTTCGCATAAATGCGTATACTTCATAAATAGCCTTGCTTCCTTTGTTGTAATCCATATTTGGATGATCTGACAAATTTAATACATTTCTCATCAGTCTTTGAGAGGTCCTAGAGGTGGAATGATCTTCTTCAAGAAAGATCCAGTTCTTGGCGTTGATCTAGAATCTGCCATCAACAATGCTGTTTTTCCAGGTTTACAGGTTAGTTGTACTTGTTTCATGATAAGAAATCTGATTTGTACCTGATCATTTATTTGTTTCTATAAGTTCAGCATTTATATTTCGAATTTCGATATAAAAAAGGATAAATGCTTGAGTTCTTTATGCAGGGTGGTCCTCATAACCACACTATTGGGGGCCTTGCAGTTTGCTTGAAGTATGCACAGTCCCCAGAATTTAAGGCTTACCAGAATAAGGTACTGCAATTATGCTGTCCTCAGTGTAAAACTGGTCCAAAGCATGTCCTAAGTTAGTCTGGATACTCTACCTTGCAGGTGGTCTCTAATTGCAAGGCTCTTGCAAGCCGATTGATTGAACTTGGGTATAAACTAGTTTCTGGTGGAAGTGATAACCATCTGGTTCTTGTGGATCTGCGGCCTTTAGTAAGTTCCTAAATTGTTGATGAATTTATTTGTTTTAAGGTTTTTAATTATTGTTGCTTGTATGGGAACTCGTCCTGAAATCTGGACGTTTAGCTATTCTTTAGCATTGCTTCCTATTTGCCTTTTCTTTTTTAGTTAAAAGCTTAGCATTTAGATGTTTTGGAAAGGGAAAGAAAACAGTTGAGTTATGACTTCACTAGTTTTAACGTTTACATGCATTTGGCTTGTCTTGACCGCAGGCTGGGTTCTGTTTTTTCTTAGTATGAATGTAAATATAGGATTGTGACATCATAGATCATAATTTCACTCTAGGTTATCAAATTTACAGGTTCCTCTTGTTTTTTGGACAATTGGTTAATCATTAAAGTTATGATTGTATCCTTTGCATTAGTTCATAACCATATCTAATTTTCCAATGTTATTTGACATTTTCTTTATTAACAGGGTATTGATGGAGCTCGAGTGGAGAAAATTCTTGACAAGGCTTCTATCACCCTTAACAAGAATTCAGTACCCGGTGAGTGTAAGGGTCCATTAGGCAGAAATGACTTGTAAGAACGTCGGATTTGAGAATAAAGCTAAATTAGTAAATGAAAACTTAAAGCTTTACATGGCATAAGTATTTGAACTAACTAGATACAATTTGTTTGCAGTGGATTTGAAATAACCAAGTTATCATATGAAACGCATATGTTTTCTTTTGATTCAAATCTAGGCATATAGGTTCTAATATTCTAATCAAGCCATTTACATAATTTTACCAGATGGACCCTAAGCGTTTCAGACCTTTATTTTTGGTTTGAGGCTTATTTGGGCCAAAGGGATACTTGCCTAGTTTTGAAGGTCCTATCTTATTTTGTTTGTGTAGTGGTTTTTATTTGTCTTTCAGCTATTTGGCTTACACCTGTGATGTTTGATGAAATAGGAGATAAAAGTGCTGTAGTTCCTGGTGGCATTCGCATTGGGTCACCTGCCATGACAACAAGAGGATTCACTGAGAAAGATTTCATAGCTGTTGCAGACTACATTCATGAGGGTGTGCAGATAACAATTGATGCTAAACGAGCAGTCTCAGGATCAAAGCTCCAAGATTTTATGAAGTTTGTAGCTTCACCTGAATTCTCCCTAAAGGATCGAGTGTTGGATCTGCAGAGAAGAGTTGAAGCTCTTACCACTCAGTTCCCAATGCCTGGAGTATAACTTGTATAGAAGGAAATGCAAGCTTTTCAGCACAACTATTTCAAGGTAGCTTGTGGATGACCACTTTTAGGTTTGGCATGTAAAATCTGAAATTAGCATGCTCTTTGCTAAATATTCATCTTCAATTTTGGTCTTGTGTGAAGATGAGAATTAAATGACTAGTTTTCTCCTAGGGAATTATTTAGGGAGCTTGAATTAGGGATCCACACCTTTGTAGAGCCCTCTCTGAGTTGAAGTTTTATGATCCGAACCCTTCCAACACACTCTAGACTGTTACCCTAATCATCATTCCTCAGCTCAACAAGTCGAATGAGAGAGGTGTTAGCCGTGCGGTGAGCTTGGGTGAGACAGGATAGAGCATAGGCACAATTCACGGATGTCAAGTTCAAACAGCTGCTCATGATGAGGGAATGCCTTGCAGAGCAGGTTTGAAGGGCCTGAACAGCACAAGGGTTGAGGTCCTAAGAAGTTATCTAATTAGATCTGTTGTTAATTTGAGTAACAGAGATTCCAATTGTTTTACTTTCGCAAGAATCATCAAATGTTTGACTTAATAAACATGCCAATATTTTATTTGCTAACAGTAAATGAGATTAAGTGGACCCAAATTTGAAAAAAATAGTCAGTGGGTATAGTTCAATTGGTTGAGCTTTTTTACATTCATCCATGCGGGTAGAGGTTCGAAACTCCCACGCACCAAATGAATATTTGTATAAACCCCTTTCCCCAATCGGTTGTGCTAAAGAAAACATATTAATATACAAATTAGTGAGTGTAGCGTTGGTCTTAAGGGTAGAATTCATAAGGGTTTGGTGATGAAAAACAAAGATATTGCGTGCGCCGTTCTATTGCCTATGTGTTTATCTTCAATCAGTGCCCTGTGCTTTAGCACCTATTTTTATTCCAACATAAATTTTTTAATTTATTCCATCATTATTGTTGTTGGCATATTATATAAATATTAATATATGGTTTTAATTTGGCACTATTGCCTTTGATAAGATAAAGCACATGTTAACGGGGTCTAGCTCAATGGAAAAAGGGTCTTAATTTGCAGATCAGAGGTCTTAGGTTTGAATCTCCACAACATCATAGTTGTGTGTATGTGTGAGAAATCTCTCTCTCTTTAGTTTAGAGACTATCGCTTATACTAAAAAAAAAAGCACATTGTTTAAATAAATCAGCTCTCAAATATTCCCTTGACTTGAACACTAGTTTTTTTCTTTTAGTAGATGCAACATTTCTTTGGCACAGTAGATGGAACAAGGTCTTTTTCATGGTAGATAAAGCTTATTTATTTAAGCAATATTGCCTTTTATAATATGCAATTTATAATGTGGCACCATTTCCTTGGGCAGTAGCTGGATCAAATTTATTTTTTTCTTTTTTTATTAGCTCCATTCGTTTTTTATATTCATCTTTCTGTTTTATATGCAATTTTATTAATGTGGCATTAGATAGACACTGAAGCACTCTGCCTCTGGAATTAAAACACATGTACTTTGTATTTATTGCTAAAACCAATCTTAATCATACACGCATAACCTGTGAGTCTTATCATATTTATTTGTTTTAAGAGTTGGACATGTTGAGATTCGACACCTACCATGCGACATTTTTATTTTCTAGTGTTTGCAAATTGTAGATTGATTGGTCATATGATAAGGCCTAGCTACCAGACATGAACAGATAATAAATCAAAAAAATTGAAGCAAATTTGTGACATTTCCCTACAAGACACTGATAGAATTGTGTCGTTTTTTGTGCGAGTTCAGTGTCTATGATACAAGCTAATTATCTAATACTCTGTTTTAGAAGATAAATCACATACTAATGATCTTTTTTTTCATTTTCCTTTATTTGTTATTCAACAATTGTCGTTGATGAGGTTTGAAATTAGAATCACCGTTAATAGAATAATTGAGTATCACTAGTCCAAATCATCGTTGACATAGTTATAATCTATCTATTGTACCAATAATTTCTTTTTCTTTTTTCTTTTTAGCACCTTGGGATGAGTTGAGATTTTGTCAAACAAAATAAGGCAAATATTCAATTATATTCATATTTGTCGAATGTAAATCTCAATTACAATATGACTAAATAAAATGGTAAGTAACAAAAAAACCTAACTAAGTAAGGAACCAAAATCCTATAGGAAATAAATCTCAATTACAATATGACTAAATAAACTAGTAAGTAACAAAAAATCTAAGTAGGTGAGGAACCAAAATCCTAACTAAGTAAGGACTTGTCAACAGATTCAACGATAGAAATTTGTCCATTCAGTAATTTATCTATTGTACTTGGAGTATATTGAAAGTAATTGCAGGTCCACTAGTCACGCCAACAGATGAGGGATGCTCAAGGTTCTTTCTCCCACTTACGGTTGAGATGATATGTTACCTAATTAGTCCGACGATGAAACCCGTATATGTAGAGATGAGCCTAATCCTCTAAGACATAGTCCGGTTTTTATGCTTGTTCATCCTTCTTCATCAATAAAATACTATCCGAGTGAAACCTCTCTTTCTCTAATTGTCACCAACGCGTGGTCATCATTCAGTTGAAGAATTTAGTCATCTGATGAATAATAATGGTCATTGACTCATAGGTCAATACTGCAAACGTAAGCGTTGGGATCCAATACAAACGCAAAACGCCATAATAATTAACTGTAAATCAGTGTCTGTACAGTGTGTGTACATATATCAATATCTGGACAGATAGAGTAGAGGGATGCTTTGCTGCCCACTCGTCGCCATCATCATCATATCACCATGCAATTTAATACATAAACAGTCGATTATGATCCCTACTCTTAACTGCTCAATTAAGAAAACGCGTTTATGAGCTTTGCCATGCTTTTGTTTCTCTCTCCTCTCTCTCTCTTCTCTCTTTTGGCGTTTCTTTGTTGTTCCTACCTTTTCCTTTTTTCTTTTTTCTTTTTTTTTTCTCTCTTTCCCTCCCGGTCATTTTTCCAGTGGTATAAATACTACCCACCTCCCATAACCCCACTGTACCAAAACCCCACCCACCTCTTTCCCTCTAATGGCTCTCTATCAAAAAACCATGCTCCTAATATGTCTCTTCTTCCTCATCTCTCCTTCTCTTTCAGCCAAAGAGAGCAAGTACCTGAACAACACCACTTTTTCTCTCTCTTTCCCCCTTACTACTTCTCTACTTTCTCTCTCTCCAAACACATCCAAACCTCTCCATCATGCCTCTCTCATTTCAAACTCCAAGCGAATCCCAAGACTCGCATCGTACAACCACAAGCTCTCCTTCAAGTATTCAATGGCTCCGATTGTTTCTCTCCCCATAGGCACTCCTCCACAGACCCAGCGGATGGTTTTGGACACTGGCAGCCAGCTCTCATGGATTCAGTGCCACAAGAAGACCCCCAAGCCAAAGCCACCACCTCCTCCGATGGCGTCGTTTGACCCTTCTCTCTCCTCTACTTTCTCTGTTTTGCCTTGTACTCACCCTATTTGCAAACCCCGAGTTCCCGATTTTACCCTCCCCACATCTTGCGACCAAAACAAACTCTGCCACTATTCCTACTTCTATGCTGATGGTACTTTGGCCGAGGGCAATCTCGTCCGAGAAAAAATTACCTTTTCTCCTTCCGTAAGTACCCCTCCCTTGATCCTTGGATGCGCTAAGGACACCACTGATAGCGAAGGTATTTTGGGTATGAACCGCGGGCGGCTTTCATTTGCTTCCGAAGCCAAAATCACAAAGTTCTCTTACTGCATACCCGCCCGCCCGGCTCAAACCGGGTCTAATCTGCCAACCGGGACTTTTTACTTGGGAAATAACCCGAATTCCGCGGGATTCCGATACGTTGACATGTTGACTTTTGATCAAAGTCAACGCATGCCCAATTTGGATCCCCTTGCCTATACAGTTGTAATGTTGGGGATAAGAATTGGCGGGAAGAAGTTAAGTATTTCACCGTCTGTTTTCCAGCACGACCGGAGCGGGGCGGGTCAGACGATGATCGATTCCGGCTCCGAGTTCACGTACTTTGTGGACGAGGCTTATACTAAGGTGAGGGAAGAGATTGTGAGACTGGTGGGACCGAGGTTAAAAAATGGCTACGTGTACGCGGGGGTAGCCGACATGTGTTTCGACGGTAAGGACGTGGAGATCGGACGGCTGATAGGAGATATGGTGTTTGAGTTTGACAAAGGAGTGGAGATTGTGACGCCTAAAGAACGAATTTTAGCCGATGTTGGTGGTGGGGTCCGGTGCGTGGCAATCGGGCAATCCAGCACGCTCGGTGCGGGGAGTAATATAATCGGGAATTTTCATCAGCAGAATCAATGGGTGGAATTTGATCTGAGTAATCGTAGAGTTGGGTTCGGTAGGGCCGATTGTAGCAGATCAGTGTGAGTCAATATAGCTAGCTGTTGGAGTCGCAAAAGTCGTATTAAACGCAAGAGGACAAAAAGGTCATTTTCGTGATAATAGAAGAGTCTAAGTGAGATGGAACTAGTTTGGCATGGCCCATGCAATTAGTGGTATCAATTTAACTCCCCCGGTATAGAAACTACTGTATCATGATGTGATATATGTTGAGATTAATATATATATATATACGAGAATGTGAAATATTTTATCACTCTGTCAAAATCATCGTCTCTTTTCATAGAGGATAACCCGCCAATAATACAATATTTAAGTAAAATTTAATTTTAAAATTGGATGGCAATGTGTCCATGTAAATTGATTTATTTACAAATCATGGTCGTTTTTCATCCCCTAATTTAATGCAAATGAATAATATCTACCTCTCACTACGCATTTATGTTTGCACTCCTATAATAATGGGCTACAATCAAATTAGTTTAAATACTCCCTCCTAACCTCCTACATATCAAATTAGTTCATTTTTGTTGTGTAGTGATTTGGAGCAATTACTCCAACAAAAAAAGTTCGAGTAGCATCTGTGTAGTGTGTGTGAGTTTAGTTTATTATCGCCCCTCTCAATAAGAAAGTTCTTATAAATTTATTTATTTATTTATAATAAAAAGATTCTTCATTCCGTTCATGCCACCCAATTTCCAAACATCACCCATGTCTTAATTGGCATGGTAAAACAAAAATCTGAGTGTAATTTGTGTAGCCCTTTTGTATCTTTCTTTGATGACAAAAATCAGGTGAGCTAGTCTAGTGAGTATAAACATCGAACACAAATAAAGAAGACATAAAAGGAGTGGAAACTGCGGGCTCCACCCAAGTTGGATTCGTGCAAAGAAGAGACGACACCTACTTGGGACTCTTCTGCCGACTCCAACTGCTCCTACTTCCACACATATATATATATATTCCCGACACGCACATGTTTGACATTTTCTTCTTATCTTATTAATCATACTTTTGCTCTTTGATTAAATATTTTATTAAAATTACTTTTGAAAAATAAAAAATAAAAAAAAAAGATTAACAAAAAATAGTAAGGTCATTGTTCTTCTTCTTCTTCTTCTTCTTACCTTTTTACCTGGTCACGTGGAACTTGTAAAATAAGTGTTCCATCGTTTGAAAGTCATGATTGGCCATCTCAACTTCCTCCTTTCATGATGAAGATGATGTGTGCACTCTATTCATAATTGATGTGTAGTTTTGTATGTACATGTGGCCAAAGGTCAGCCCTAAACCATCACTCTCTCTCTCTCTCTCTCTCTCTCTCTCTCTCTCTCTCTCTCTCTCTCTCTCTCTCTCTCTCTCTCTCTCTCTCTCTCTCTCTCTCTCTCTCTCTCTCTCTCTCTCTCTCTCTCTCTCTCTCTCTCTCTCTCTCTCTCTCTCTCTCTCTCTCTCTCTCTCTCTCTCTCTCTCTCTCTCTCTCTCTCTCTCTCTCTCTCTCTCTCTCTCTCTCTCTCTCTCTCTCTCTCTCTCTCTCTCTCTCTCTCTCTCTCTCTCTCTCTCTCTCTCTCTCTCTCTCTCTCTCTCTCTCTCTCTCTCTCTCTCTCTCTCTCTCTCTCTCTCTCTCTCTCTCTCTCTCTCTCTCTCTCTCTCTCTATATATATATATATATATATATGCTAGCTCTCGTGAATTTTGTGAACGATCATCATCCAGTCTTCTTGTGCCATTACATTGACAGACTAAGTATCAACTTCATCGATCATATGGAGGAGGTGATAACATTGACATAAAGCAATCTATCTTCCAGTGCTTTCCTTTGCTCCCATTTTGTAAAGCCATCAACCATTAGTGTTGGAATTTTATATTGCAATATACTAATGCAATTTATAAGAAGAGATATTTAGTAAAATACCCATTCTTAGCACTAAAACTATAAATAAACCCTACATCATTTAATTTCTATAAACAAACCCAAAAAAAACCCAAAAATGACAATTGGCTCTATTGAATTTAATTTTGATTATTAAATTACTTTGATGTCCTATTGAGTATTTTGGGGTTTTTTATATGTTTTGGGGTTGGGTTTGTTTTGACAAATCAATGGCAGTTTTGTAATTTAAAAGAAGTTAAAAGCCTTTTTGTTATGTTGTAAATGAGTTTTGGGTGTGTTTCTAAAGTTCATTTCATATAGGGTATTTTTATAATTTGGACTCCTATATTGGGTATAATAGTGAATCTCCCTTATAAGAAAGTTATAAACTCCTTAAAACACGATGATTATGATTTATTAGTTAGAGGTTACAAATACCCCACAATAATATATATCCTTGTTTGAAGAAATGTCTTGCATTGGAAAGTTGAGAAATCAAACAAGCGCTTATAAGGAGTTGGGTTTACTCCCCCCCTCCTCCCTCCTCAATCCATTCCCAATTGATTTTGAAATAAAACCTCAACTTCCTTCATAATATCACATCCAAGTTTTTGCCAACGTGTAAAGCCCAACAACGACACGTACTCTCCGCATTTATGTTGTACACGTGTTAACTCAACAATTATGAACTCAAGACAGAGGTGGCAGCTTGCTATTTCAAAAAACTCGGATCCTGTTTTTGTGGGGCTTGCCCTTGTAATGCTATGTTCTCCCTCCTCAACCCATTCCTAATTGATTTTGGAATGAGACCTCAACTTCCTTCATAGTATCACGTCCAGATTTTTTCGAACGTGTAAAGTCCAACAACAACACGTACTCTCCGCATTTATGTTGTACACGTATTAACCCAACAATTATGAACTCAAGACAGAGGTGGCAGCTTGCTACTTCAAAAAACTCGGATCCTGTTTTTGTGGGGCTTGCCCTTGTAATGCTATGCTCCATGAACCCGCAAGCGGTCCCCTCATTGTAGAGCATTTGTCTGCCATCGATTATCTTCTGTTTTCTATTCTTTTGTTTCGGATTGTCCTCATCTAAAAGCCCTAATAATTTGAAGTATAAGACATTGCATATACGTATCGGGTTGTGTGCCCATAAGGCTTACAACTTACAATGCTTTGCTTTGGAGATTGTCCCATTTTTATTGGAATTAATTCTGCCTCGAATAGCTTGTACTTTTATCGAAGTTATGGCTAGCTAGAAATGTTGACCCAGTCCTTCAATTCCTTTTCTTTATCTTTATTTTTGGGTCACCATCATTTTCGATGGTATGGGTGCAATTGGTACTTTTTGAGCTAAGGATGGATTTGTGCCTCCTAATGTTTTGGGAAGTTCTATTCATAATAAAATTGAGAAAGAAAAATAAGAGAACGGTTTAGTAAGTAAAGTTTGCAAGGAGAGCTTGCCTAATGAAATGCATTTGTTTTTTTTTTTTTTTCTTTTCTTCTGAAAACAGAAATACATTAAAAGTTAAATCTCAAAGGGATCTTAAAACGATACAAAATCAAACTACATTCTAGAAACTACATCTTTACGAAAGTTACTAAACTAGATACAATGATTATTATGCTTATGACCTATTTTAGCTAAATATTATGTTGCTACATTTGCCTCCCAAATATGATTCGCAACAGATGAAATGTACTTGTTGATGCATTGTTTTTCAAATATTTGGTAGAGAAAATCCCGAGTGAAGTGAATTTGATAAAGTTGAACCACGTTTTCAACATTGGATGACCATCAAAGTCGGCTTCCAAGGGAAAAAGATGTAGCATCATCTTCTCATGATCATCAAAGTATGGAATATTATGATTGCATATTATGATTGCATTTTGATATTTTCAGAGAAGAGAGAAATAACAGCTGGCCAAAAGAGTTAGCTGCCAAGATGGACTGCTTTGAGAGCCAATATTCCTCGAGAACCTAACCCTAAGCTGGTTCCTACATAAGTGAGGCACAGCTAGCTCTCCATCACAGCAGCAAGGCAAGACAGATTTGCACGCCCTTATTAGACACTTCACTTTCTTCTTGCATTATGATTATGATGTAACATATATATATAATGCATGCTAGCTAGCTCTCTCTCTCTCTCTCTCTCTCTCTGCATGAATTGAATGCGCCAGAACACTTCTTTGAAAAAGCAAAGACCAAAAATCTACAGCTTTAGATATTGATATATATAGACTATACATATGTATTGTCCAGTAGGCGCCTACAAAGAGAGATTTTTGGTTTGTCATGGACTCATGGTTAATGGTCCCCTCCCTATTATTTTCCACGCGTTTCTTTTAAGATCTCCCAATTGCAAACAAATGAAAAGCAAATAGTGCCAGCTTTATCTTATTTTTTTGTTGGTTTGGTCCACCCATCTTAGCTCAATTTTTGGTTGGTAAACGAAAATAGTGGAAGTCAGTGAGAAACCAAGGACAGTCCACTCAATAGTCGGCCCATGTTTGATTATAAACAGTTTTGATTCTCTTTGTGTTGGCCCATCTTTAACTTTTTGGTGTTTTTTTTTGTTTGAAACTTTTTGGTGTTTATAGCTGCTAGGGTTGGTAAACAAACTGTACAAGCCAACAAGGTCTAACCCAATGGAAAACGACCTTCATTTCCAGACCAGTGATCTCAGATTCGAACCACCATGGCACCTTGACTGTGTGTGTGAGAAAACTCCCCTTAGAAGATCGAAAACGATTGTTTGCTTTTGTTTTCTAAGCAATTACATATTGTGAACCAACAGTTGATCAATAGTGATGAAATTGTATACTGAACCATTTAAGAAAATGTTGCATAAACGATACAGCCTTCTGAAAAAGCAAATTGGTATTCGCACTATGTATTGATATATACCTTTTTTTTCCCATCCATTTCATTTTTCCTCTCCATTACATTTTAATGAAAATTAATCTGCTCTTTGCACGCCTTATTATCCCAACAATACCTTTAAAACCCTAGTTTCTTTTCTTTGAACTTTAAATCATCCATGGAAGCCTTCACTCATGTGCAATAATTTCTTGTCATTGCCTACATAATGTCTTGAAGGCCAATGCCATTTAACATGGACAGTAGAGCATCCTTTGATCATATTCAGTCGCTTAAGACTCAAAAAAGTCCCAACGCATGAAAATTGACCAACACCTTGTCTGAGCACACTTCTGTTGTTAAAGTCTGGCCATGTCTGAATAGAATGTCGATGATCTTTCCATCCTGACGGATTTGGACTGGCCGCAGCAAATATTTGACAGATATCTTTTTTCTATCTGAATCCTTTGATCATATTCAGTCGCTTAAGACTCAAAAAAGTGCCAACGCATGAAAATTGACAA